GCAAAAGCATTTTTTTTTCTTTTTACAAAAAAATATGCTTTATGCATTCATATGTATAAGAAAATAACAGTGAATATAAATATATTCTCCTCTTTCTTTCTTTTTTTGTTCTTCTTCTAGTGTATATGAAATTCTTTTTTTTTTCTTGTCTCAATGATAATATATACGAATGATGATGTTTTCTTTTTTTTTTTTTTTTTTTTTTTTTTTTTTTTTTTTTCGTCTTTGTTGCTTATTTGTTTTTTTTTTCTATTATCTTTATTTAAGAGAAAGGAAAACAATATTGATATATATATATATATATTCATATGCGAATATTTAAATTACATCTATTGATGTTTTTTTTTTTTTTTTCTTTTCTTCTAGATAAAAATCGAAATGATGTTTAGCCAATTAATATTCAATTTCAGATTAAATAAAATAAAAAATGACAGACGAACAAGAACTTCTTGATTATGATGAAACAGATGATGCACCACAACAAACAGAAACTAAAAGTGGAACATCACATGGTACTAGTGGAACAACTAGTGTACAAAATGGTGGTACAACTGGTACACAAAGTGGACCAATACGAGGTTCATATGTATCAATACATGCCAGTGGTTTTAAAGATTTTCTTCTTAAACCTGAATTACTTCGTGCTATTATGGATTGTGGTTTTGAACATCCATCGGAAGGTTTTTAAAATAAATCTATAATATTTAAAAAAAAAACAAATTTCAAATAAATAATTTTTTTTTCTTTTAGTTCAACATGAATCTATTCCACAGGCTATTCTTGGTACAGATATTGTATGTCAAGCCAAATCGGGTATGGGTAAAACAGCTGTTTTTGTTCTTGCAACACTTCAACAACTTGAACCTGTTGATGGACAAGTAAAAAAAATAAAATGAAATTTATTCATAAAACATAAAACAAAAAAAAATAAATAATAATTAATTTATTTTAAGGTATCTGTTATTGTACTTTGTCATACACGTGAATTAGCTTTTCAAATAAGTCGAGAATATGAACGTTTTTGCAAATATATGTCATCAGTTAAAGTAGCTGTATTTTTTGGTGGTTTACCAGCTAAACATGATGAAGATATTTTAAAAAAAAATTGTCCACATATTGTGGTTGGAACACCTGGTCGAATTTTAGCATTAGCTAAAAGTAAAGCACTTAATTTACGTCATGTTAAACATTTTATTATTGATGAATGTGATAAAGTACTTGAATCACTTGGTAAGATTTTTTTTTTGTTTGAATTTAATCTTTTTTTTTGTTGTCTAGATATGCGTCGTGATGTTCAAGAAATATTTAAAATGACACCACATGAAAAACAAGTTTTAATGTTTAGTGCTACATTAAATAAAGAAATTCGACCGGTGTGTAAGAAATTTATGCAAGATGTAAGTTTTAATTTTTTTTTTTTGTTTTGTTTTATTTTCGGTTTTTTTGCTTTTATAGCCAATGGAAATTTATATTGATGATGAAACAAAATTAACACTTCATGTATGTATTTCTTTTTGTTTTTTTTTTTTATTTTTTCGTAAAAAAGAAAACAAAATTTTATTTCTCTTAAAAATAGAAAGATTTATTTATTATTGTATCGAGTCTATTTAATATAGTATTACTATTTGACTGATGCAATAATTTATAATGATTTGTTTATATTCGGGATGGTAAAAGTGGACTTGATATTTTTTAGAAGATATGCAGTTTTGGAGAGTTAAAAGAGTTTCATTCTTCTATTTTATCTATATATAAACATTCATATGAATCCAGTTAGCTTCAAATGAAATACTGATTACATATGAAATTGCATTGATTCGTATATGGCTTAGAGACATCTGATAGAACATGCTGATAACATCATACAATCAAAATTCAATCTTTATTTATATGATAAAATATTTCGAAATATATATATGATCTACCTGAGAACTGTACGGAATCCTAAATATGGAGATTAATAAAAATGTGTATATCCCTAATAGAAGATTTTGTTAAATCAAAATGATTTATGTCATATTTTCACATAAATATTCTTTCAAAGAACATCAAATGATATGAAATCAAAAAAAAAAAAAAAAAGCTTTAACTTTATTTTAATAAAGGGTCTTCGTCAACATTATGTTAAATTACGAGAAAATGAAAAAAATCGTAAATTAATTGATTTATTGGATAAATTGGAATTTAATCAAGTTGTTATATTTGTTAAATCGGTACCACGTTGTACAACTTTATGCAAATTATTAACTGAACAAAATTTTCCTGCTGTTGAAATTCATCGTGGCATGCCTCAAGAAGAACGGTTTGTTGAATTATAAATTTGACAAAAAAGACAAAATTCAATAAAAATTTGTTGTTGTTGTTTTTTTAGTTTGGCACGTTATAAAGAATTTAAAGAATTTCAAACACGTATACTTGTTGCAACCAATTTATTTGGACGTGGTATGGATATTGAACGTGTTAATATTGTATTTAATTATGATATGCCCGAAGACACAGATACATATCTTCATCGAGTATGTTATTAAGTTTTTCTTATTGAATAATTTTTTTTTTTTGTATTTAAGGTTGCTCGTGCTGGTCGTTTTGGTACAAAAGGTTTAGCAATAACATATGTAGCAGATGAAAATGATGCAGCAGTTCTTAATGAAGTTCAAAAACGATTTGAAGTACAAATTACTGAAATGCCCGATGAAATTGATGTAGCTACTTATAGTAAATATATTGATTTTTATTTTTAACATTTATTCTATTAATAAAATTTTATTTTCTAGTTGAAAATCGTTAATATTCTGGTCTCATTGATTTAAAATATGAAAAAAACAAAAACTAAACATTGCGTTTCTTTTTTTTTTCTTGCCTATTGTAACGATTTCTTTTTCTTGTCAACAAAAAACATGTTTGTATGCGTTTTGAAGCATATGAATTTATTATTCTATCTTCAAACTCTTTCTTCTCTTTAGTTTATGTGTTGTCTCTGTCACTTTTCTTTTCTGTTTATTTCGATACTATATAACCAAGAAGAACAACAACAATTTAATATTCTATATATGGGTTTTTTTTCTTCTCTTAAACATTCAAGGTTAGAAACCTTATTTCAATTGATATTGAAAAGCAACACATTTATGAAGAATGTATCACAATTTGTTTGTTTGTTTGTTTCTTTTTCTCTTCTTCTTGATTTGTCTTTTCTTGTGTGCTTGTGTTAGATTGTGTGCTGCTGAATGTCTCATTCTTTTTCTCGTTATATATGTCTGTGTCATTTTTTCCATTATCATCTTCTTTGTCTTGTTGTTTTCTTTGTTGAAAATAAAAATCATTGAGACGCAGATATACAGAAAAAAAATAAAATTGTAGATTTTCAATTTTGTTCTATGAATTTGATAACGATTTTCTAAGAAATTAGAAATAAATTATTAAATGACAAAATATCTTATTTTTTTTCTTAAGTGGATTTATACAGAATAGGTCATAAACATCTCTACGATAAAAAAAAAAGTTTCGATATTTCTATTCGGTTCGAAGGAATTGAATTGATTTGTTTTATCGATGATCGACAAATGTTTAAAGTTGTTTTTCTTTGTACATAAGAAGATTCTTTATGTATACTGATTTCCATTATTGACGTTCACTTCAATACGATAGTGTTCACAAATGTGCAAAGCGTTGCCGACACAAAAAACGATGGCAGTTGATGAATAGTCGAGGAGGAGATCATGGCCTAAAATCTTGTTGACAGGCAACACAAACCGATCGCACGTAACAATATCTCAAAAAATTTCTTTAACCAATTTTTTCTTCATATTAGTCGTTCCCCATAATATTTCAAAAAAATAATGCTTCATTTCTTAACATTTACCCAGAAAGAACAAAAAATTGAAAATACCATGTCAGGTCAATCTGTTATTGTTACGATAATTTTTAATCAACATTGATTACAATTTATTTTATAAATTTAACAAATAAGTATTATATGATTTAATAAAACAAAAGATATCTGAGAAAGAATGAGGCTAACAATGATTAGTTTTCTTCTCTTACCTTTTCAAAATTTGATGTACATTCAGCTTTAAAAATTCCTAGCAATAGAGTCTAACAGCTGATATGACTAAATCGCGGCTACTCGGATAACAAACATAATAAGAGAGGCAGGCGCGGAGTACATTCTTGGTAGTGTTATATTTTTAATTGACATAAAATAATAAAAACATATTCATTTATCAATATACTTCTTTTTTGATCCATATACTTTACCATCTCATTCTTTGTATGATCCGAGATTAGCTTTTGTTTCTATTTCAATAATACTTCATGTACAATTATTTTAACACTGAATCAGATATGATTGAGAGTCTTTTATTTTCTGATAGTTACCCTATGAAAAATTGCAATGGTACATTGATGTTGATAAAAGTATTCTTGATTTTTTTTTCTCATTGCTATTCAATGTTAAACTTATTCTGCATTTCTTTTTTTTTCGAACCTCTGAAAAGTTATAATAGTGCATGTTGACCATTGAAAGTAGTGTTCATAAATGATTTTCTTATGAAAAAAAAAAAGAAACTTTGAACATTCCTATTATTGATAAAACAATCAGCGTAATACCCTCGAGCGAAGTGTAGATAATTAAATTTTATATCGAAAAGATATTAATAGTCGATTCTACATCATGAAGCGTAAAATTATTGACTTTTTTTTAAGATATAAAACATTCATGATTGTATCTAAAAGTTAACCATTAGTTTATTTAAGTTTCATAAAAGAATGTATTTTATTTTTCTTTGATAAACTTGTAAAAAAAGTTATTTGAAAACCTTCATTTAATTACATTCAATGACAATTGATTTGACTAGAACTAATCCTAGAGTATAATTTATTATGATAATTTGATATATATCTTATGATTATATGTATATGACAGACGAAAATATAAATTATTTATTCGCGCCATGTAGTTTTTTTGTCTCAATGAAAAAATTCAAATGTGTCTATACTAAATAATGAATATATCTAATAAAAAGGTTAATCGATCAATGATTGATAAAAATCTAGCTCGAACAAATAGTAATTTAACTGTTAATACAAAATCAAATAATATTAAAGATGAAGTACATATAAAAATTCAAGAAATGAATCCATCACCTGGCAACATACTTCTTCCATCAACAATTGGAATTCCACCAAGAAATGGTAGTCCAGAAAGTCGTCTACGTGATCCTCGTATACTTTGGGCACCAGCTATAAGTATTAGTGGTAAAATTGATCAACCATTAATAACACCACAATATCAAAAGAAACAACAACGTATTATTGAAAAAAGTGAACAAGTTAAATTAAATCCAAAAATTGCAACAAATAATGATTTAAGTCATTTAACAAGATTAGGTAATGATAAAACAAAATTATCTATATCATTTATTCCACATAAAATTATTCCATCAAAAAGACCTTTATCAATAACACAAAGAGGTAAAATCTATAATAAAATATTCATATAATCATGTAATTAATTAGGACCCGGTCCAACAAGTTATCAACGATATAAAGATTACGAACAAATGGGTGAAGAATATATTTATACTCAACAACCTCGTATTCGTATTCATCCATTAATTGGTCCAAAATTAAAACGTGAACGATATCATCATGATATTAATGATCAAATATTATCTGAGGAGAAGAAAAAAAAAGATTTTCAAAATATAAAACCATTTTGGACAACAATTGGTACTCGAACATATGATTCACGTTTACCAAATGCTCCAATTTCTACAATTCATCATCGATTTGATATGACATGTATCTATTGAATTTTATTTTAACTATATTTATATTTTTCTTCAGTAGATACAGAAAATAAAACGAATAAATTACGAGGAATAACTATGCCTGGACCAGCAATGTATCCAATAATTAATACTAACAATGAAACAATAAAAAGAGATATATGTGGTGGTGTTCGAGGTGTGACTATAGCACCAAGATATCGTGAAAAACATTTAGAATTATCTGGTCCTGGACCAGCAATGATCGAACGAGAATTATTAGATAAAGGAGTAAGGTTATATTTGATTTCATAGATACATATGAAAATATCTTTTTTTATTAGTATAAAAATATTCTAAGAAAATCTCCAGCTTTTACAATGTCTTTTCGTTGGTCTCCTTATTCGCATACATTTACGGATGAATGTTCTGACAATTTTTTTTGATTACCTTTTTCAGTTTATATCAGTTTTTTTTTTTCTTTTTACTTATCAATATTCTTGTATAACTTACAATTGATTAACCTTGTGTCTCTACCTCTAAGTTCTTTTCATTTTATTTCTTTTTCGTCTATGTCCATGTTTAATGCTGATATGTTTGATAACCTTAATGATGATATTCATTCTTCAAACGCTTGTCTATGTTAACATTAAAATAGTTATAATTGCTTGTATTTCCCTTGAGTAATTACTATGTTGTCGTATGGTTATGCTTGTATACATTATCAACGAATAAAATGCTGAACGAAGGTCAAGTGTTTTGTATATGAATGAGTGAAACAAAATCAATTTAATAATGAATTTCCTTAAAGTAAAGACAAAAAATTATGAAATTGTAATGAACATCATTGCAAAAGAAAAAAAAAAGGGAACATTTGGAATTAATATCAATTTGATACGATGATAAAATAACACCGTTCAATGCCACAGTGAATGGACCATGAATACAAAAAAAGAAAAATGACAGACAAGTGGTAATTTGTTGTTTCTTTTTCTTTCTTTTTTTTTTTCTTCTGTTTCACACTCTCATATTATGTGAAAAGAATATTTTCATGCATAGGTGATTGATTCAATAGTGACGGACATCAATGAGCTGCATCATTCGTTTTCTGCTATTCTTATTACCAGTATTAGGTAAAGAGTATTGATCATAAACTTTTATTTAAAATAATTCTAGAAAATAAAATATTCAATAGAGTTTTTAGTTAATAATCTATATTTAGAACATTTAAAAAGAAAAACTAATGTTCTTCTTTCGTTTGGTTCGAAAAATTCAAGGTTAAGATGAATCAATAGACATTAGATGTAAATCAAAAGATATAAAGATCTTAATGAATATATTTTCTACTTATAGTTGATAGTAATACATGTAATGATCGAATTCAACTTAATAGACAACAAAATAAATCCTCAATTTATTGTTCATCATGTTCAACATATATTAATGGGAAAATATCAGCTTCTAGTCTACAAATAGAATTGCCATCATTAACACAAATAACTGGTATATCTGTTCGTCATTCTAATCAAGACAAAAATTCGGTAGAATAACTTTTTTTTTTTTTTTATTAGTTTTGATTATTTGTATTAAATTAATATTTAGACAATAAGTTCATATTTTATTGAATATCGACGAACACAAGATGGTCCTTGGCATTCTTATGGAAGACGTCGACAACGAAAAGTATTTAAAAATGAGAAAAAAAAATAATAATAAATTTCTTTTCTTTTATTTCAGTTGGTTATCGAACGACGTCGTTTATTTTTTAATGATGATGATAACTTAAATAAAACACGTACATTTCTTCCATCAATTATTGCGCGACAAATTCGAATTATTTTCGGAACATCATCCATATCGATATGTACAATCATTCAAGTATACGGTTGCCAATCTCAAAGTAATTACAATACAAAAAAAAAAATTACTTTTTTAATAGAAATTATTAAGGAAAAATTCTATTTAGATGGTCTAATTTCGACACGCCTTCCTCAAAGATCAATTATTAATACTGATTTAAAATATGATGGATTGATTGTAAATTCAACTGCTCGAGGTAAAAAATATTTAATAATAACAGAATTAATTGAATATTTAGAAGTTCTATTATTTATATTTATTTATTATTAAGGTGGCTTAGGTATGTTAACTGATGGAGATACACATCATTTTATTCATTGGTCACCATCATCAGAACCAATTTTACTTCTTTTTGGTTTTGATACAATAAAAGAATTTCAATCAATTAATCTTGATATAAAATGTTCTTTATTATTATTATCAAGTTGTACATTAAAAATAAATGTTGGTATATTAGAAATAGTTACATCAAATAATCTTTGGACAAATCATTTTAATACAATTTCAATTCAAAATCATTTATATTATGATAATACAACACAAACACATCTTATACTTTCTGTACCAAAAACTAAAGGTCAATTTGTAATCATACAAATAAATACAAAAGAAGGTTTAGCACTTAGTGAAATAACATTTAACAATCAAAATGAATATGATAATGATCAATATATAATACCATCATCAATTTATATTGAAGCTAATCTACGTCGATTAGAATTATTAGCATATAATGCTGTATCAAATGAAATAATACGTAAGTTAAATTTCAAAAGAAAAAAAAAAAAAAACTTATAATAAATTTTAAAACAATAGTTCATCATAGATTATCATATTTATTAATTTTTATGTTAATTATTTGTGTTATACTTCTTATGTTTTTACTTATTTCATATATATTTAAAGATAAACAAATAAATCATATGCAGTAAGAATTGAATTTTAAGAACAATTAAAAATTTTTTTTTTAAAGAGTAATACCTGAAGAAACTGAACAAAGTTTAACAATATCAATAACAAATTCAACAAATGATGAAAATATTCAAAAGTATGAATAATTTTCTTTTTATAAATAATGATTGTATTATTATTATTATTTATTTCTAGTCACTCTCAATTAGATCTCTATTCCAATCTTGAAAGTAAATTTATACACATTAATTTCTATTCGTTTAAGTATAAAAATTATAAATCATATTTTTGTTTTTATTTTTAGATAATGATGATGATGATGAATTAATTTCAAATTCTTTACAACTTATTAATTCACAAAAAATTGTTAACGAAAGTGCTAAAGCAACTATACGTATACTGTCTTCACGTCGACGAGTAAATAATAGTTTTTTTTTGTTATGAAAAATATATTTCTTCACTTTTAATGATATAGTCAATAACACCAAAATGTTCTGTGTCTAATTTACATTCTGTTTGTGATCATCTATCTGAAATAGATCGTAATGAAATACTAATCATTCAAAATCTTGGTGTTCAAAATAATCAACAAGTATTTTGAAAAAATAAAATTTTTCTATTTTTCTAATCATTAGTTTTTTTTTATTCTATTTAGTGTTTTTATAGTGAATATGGTCAAAATAAATTATCTGTTATTCTATATGAACAAGATAATAATGAGTATGATTGTAGAAAAAATAATTTTAATTAATATAAAATTTTTTTGTATTGCTTTTATTTAGATTTTTTAATTTATCAAAATTAATAGATCATAAAAATATAGTCTCTTGTCTTGGTTATGTTTATATATCACCGGAACGATGTCTTCTAGTCAGTGAATATAGTCAAGTGAATTTATTTGAATATTGTCAAACAATGACGATTGAAAATGAAAATACTGCAACGTAAGAAAAAAAACTAATAACATGAAGAAATTTGTGAGTTATTTTTTTGTTTTACTTTTTTGATGTTGATAGAATTCTTATGGAATTTCTTAATGATATTCTATCAGCTTTAATTCATCTTGAATCATTAAATCTAATTGTACGTGATTTAACATTACCTAATTGTCTTGTATTTAATGATAAAACAATAAAATTGTCTGATTATGCTAAACAAGATGATCGTTATGTGTCAAGATACGTTCAACAAATGCCTATTCGATGGTTACCTGGTGATATTGTTACAGAGGTAAATATTGACTTTTTTTCTATCATAATTTATTTTTAATTTTTATTTTTATATCTAAAGGACGAAATTTGGTCTGTTGAAACAAATACATTTATGTTTGGTACTCTTGTTTTTGAATTATTTCATTTGGGTTCATGTGTTCCATATAGTGATTTAAATAATGATGAAGTTTTACAACTCTTTCATGATTTATGGCCAAACTCAAAACAGAATAGTATTGAACCATCTGTTCTGTGTTTCTCAACATATTTTCCACGTCCAACATTATGTAATGATCGTCTTTATGCATTTATCGAACGTTGTCTTTCATGGTCAAGTCTAGATCGACCATCATTTCGAGAAATAAGACTCTATTTAAACGAGACAACAACTGTGCTATCTCAATGACCGTTAACCGAACCGTCAAGAACATATAGTGGCATGATAGCGAGAAAAGAAAAAAAAAAAAAGAAAGATAATACGTGTATTTATTGCTGTTTGCTTTTAGTATATAGTAACAGAACAACAGTCTGTATTCATTTATCTGCTTTTTAAGGGCAAAGGACGGAGGAAAAAAATCGCAAGAGAAAAGAGAGACAGTATTTACCACTGCGCTGCCATTTATAGTATTATTATAAATAATCATGTTGAACAAAGTTTTTTTGCGCATAGTAAGTAATTATGGACGAAAATTTTCAACTCTAACTTCAGCTGTTGAAAAACCACTATCGAATAATCGATGTGCTCAATTAAAACAAATGCTTTTATCACCACAACTTGAATTCATTATGGAAGCTCATAGTGCATTAAGTGCAAAAATTGTTGAAGAAACAGGTTTTAAGGTAAGTTTAAGGGTTCATAATGAATAATAATTTTTTTCAATTGAATGAACCATTTTTCTGCAATTGTTATTAATAAATATATATTCATTGTTTTTATATCACAAATGAGAGTGAACAACGTAATTTTTAATTTATTTTGGCCGTAAAAATTTATTCTTATCAGAATTAAATGAATCGGAAGTGTAAATAGCAAAAAAAAACGTAAAAACTACGGACGGCTCTAATTTCTTTCTGTTGTCGTTGTAAGATTAGTATTTGTTTTTCTTTCTTTTTTACATATGCATGGCAAATATGCTTAAATGATTTATACATAGAGCTAATTAATCACGAGAAGTTCGAGCATGATGCATATAAATATACTGAGAGACGTCATTTTACTAAGAGTATAAGTGAAGTAGAAATGATGTTTATCAACAATATTGCCACACAGTTTGATTGATAATTTAGTTGTGGTATCAGTCATTAATAGAATTTATTATTAAACTGAATGAACAGATTATAGTGTCGAGAAAATACTGAATAAGTATTGCTCAAAAGAATTTCATCATTGCTAAGAAAATGAAACTAATAAAAAGAACAATAAGTAACGTGTTTGAAGTAATTCTACTTCGATTCAATACAATTAACGATCATTGTAACTCGATTGACGTAGCCCTAGGCTGATGGGATAGATACATGCATTTAGGTGCAATTTGATATAATATGCTTGGTACTAAAAAAAAATAAAAGATATGACTTAGTATATAAAAGTGATTTCTGTCACAAAAGAAATTTTCATGTAATATAAAAGTTGATTTTTTTTGTTTTTTAAAGAAAAAGAGTTTCAACTATGCTATACTTTAGTCAAATTTTTTTTATCGCTGTACTATTATAACTCTATTGGTTGCTGTTCTTTAAAACTTGTCCTCAAAATTTGATTTTAGATTTCAAATAATCATTGAGTTTAGTAAATTGAAACTTCTATTTATCGTTTATCGATATATATATATATGTTTACATCGAACTAGTCTATTTCCATGAATAATATGAGGTTCGGAATAGTAGTAGTGTATTGATGATATTAGAGATTTTATGCTCGACGTTTCAACATTTTAGATAAAAACCTTAAAATTGAAAACGTTCCAGTTTTTTATGATTCATATTATTTTGTGTCTTCTTCATGTTTGGAATAAAACGTATGTTATATATGTATATATCTACTAATTTATAGAGATAATATAGAAATCAATACAATTAGTTATATTAGTGCTACTTTTATTGCAAAAAAAATTAGTATCACACATTATTCAAATAATATAATTTTAGTTTATCATAATCATATATTCAGACTCATTCGCTAACTTTTCATAATTATTATATTACATCCTCATGTATACAGTATTGAACAATCGATCGAACTATTCAATATAATTAACAACAATGATCGGCACTTCTAAAATCATCCCAGGTAGAATAAGTACGCTCGTAAATGACCGTAAATCGCCATATATTGATGTATTTCATGATTCAGTCAGTCTTATGATCGTTTTTCTCCGTAATTGATAAGGACAAATTCAGTTGTGATACTGACCCATGCTATATACAAATATATGGTTATTTTCACAGTGTATACGAATTGTGTATTTTTCATCCTGGGATACTAGTCCTCGGTTAATTTTAATTTTAATACGTAAACGGCCTTGTTGCCATTCGATGCATTCATTGGTATTAGAGTTGCGGTATGGTAACTATGTTATAGACGAACACAGGTAAATTTCTATTTCTAGATTCTATCCTAATAATATATGGAAGAATCTAAAGAAAAGAAAAATCTTTTCTGTTTTGTGTATAACTTCATCCACAGATAAACTTATTTTTTGATTGAATCAATAATATAGCCCTAGAAATTTGAAATCAATATATATCGTATGCCTTCAATAGAATTTTCTTATTGGAGAAATGCTCATTCTTTAATCATATCAAATTATGATTTGTTGTTTTCCTAATTCAGATATTGTTCCTCTGGGAAAAGTTCTTTTTGTTTTTATAAATGTAGAAGAGAGTTTACTTGAAAATATATCATGCCACCTAGAATGATTTGATATTCCTATTAGTCTTACTAATTTTAAAAGACATAGAAACTATTGATGAAAATCTAAAATTTAACTAAAATGAAATTTTCTTGAATATTATTGATAAATTATATATTGTTCTAGGCTATTTGGGCAAGTGGCTTATCAATGTCAGCTTCACTTGGTTTACGTGATTCAAATGAAGCATCATGGACTCAAGTTCTTGATATTCTTGAATTTATGGCTGATGCAACAAGAATTCCAATTCTTGTTGATGCTGATACAGGTTTTGGTAATTTTAATAATGCTCGTCGTCTTGTTCGTAAACTTGAACAATTGGGTATAGCTGGTGCTTGTATCGAAGATAAATTATTTCCAAAAACAAATTCATTATTAGAAGATCGTCAACAACCATTAGCTGATATGAATGAATTTGCTTTAAAAATTCGTGCTATGAAAGATACTCAACAAGATCCAAAGTTTTGTGTTGTTGCTCGTGTTGAAGCATTTATAAGTGGATGGGGTTGTGATGAAGCTATACGTCGTGCTGAAGCTTATTTAGCAGCTGGTGCTGATGCTATATTAATGCATAGTAAACAAAAAGATCCTAAAGAAATTGAACAATTTATGAAAGTATGGAATAATCAAGGTCCTGTTATTATTGTTCCAACAAATTATTATCAAACACCAACAGAAACATTTCAAAAATGGGGTATATCAGCTATTATATGGGCTAATCATAATTTACGTGCAAGTATAAAAGCTATGCAAGCAACATCAAAACGTATTTATAATGAACAAACATTAGTTAATGTTGAATCAAATATTGTTAGTGTTAAAGAAGTATTTCGTTTACAAAATGATCAAGAATTAGTTAATGCAGAAAAAAAATATCTACCAATTAAATCAAAAAACTAAATATTTCGCTTTTTTTTCTTCTATTATTATTATTATTATTATTATTATTAATTAATATTATTATTATTAAATTTTTTTTTGTGATTTAATCAACTAATGAAAAAAAAAATGTTTTCCTTTTCAAAAAGAAAAAATGAATATGTTAAAATTCTTTATTATATAGAATTCCTACGAGAGAGATACATCATAAACCCGATGTTTTTTGTTTTTTCTTCAATAAGAAGTCTTTAGAGACAAACTATGATTAACAGTTGTACCATTGACATTATTTATATCACTCTAGCTCAACCAAACAACTCACCTAATATTTTCAATTGTTTCTTTCAACGATTATTGTTGACTTTCATATTTATATCATAGATATATCTTGCATTATTTGACTGATTCTGAAAATTTTGACTCTATCGAATAAGGAAATGCATTCATAAGATAGGAAATCAAAATTTTTTGATTTGATAGTGATGAGTTGTATTTTTTTGTTTAACTATCAGGTTGAGTTTTATCGATTTTATTTCTATTGCTACAAGCTTTTTTTTTGATCGTTTTGTTCATAAAATATATTTAAAAAAACTTTCAGAAACATATTTTTTTTTTCAAAGTTCGATATTTAAAACAAATTTTGGTTTCATTGATGATATATTCTTTATGTTTTTTAATGAATTTTCATTTGATATAGCTAAAATTTTTCGAACAAGTTAAGTGATCAGAGATATAAATATGTGATCAAACGACAATAATAGAGAGATATGATCGAAAACATTAAATGTGTCATGTTTTATTCTTTGGACAAACGAAGAATATATTATTCTACAGAGATTGTAAGAAATTTCTTATCGATAATTGTTCTCGTAATTCTAAAAATAAATCTTAATCGAATATACTAACATTAGTCGATTTGAATGACACTATATTTTAGAATAAAAAAAGACAAACCATTGTCACAGGTTTCTTGCTGTGATTCATCTCTGGTTTCTTTTATATAAAATGGTAATTTTGACTTCTATTCAATATACCAGCTGATGCTTGTTGTTGCAAGTATAAAATAAAATGCAAGCATCAGACATCAATACATTTTAGAAGATATAATGGGAGCAAAATATTCCTCACCAAAATGCACATCAACAACAATCGATTATATTCGAACGAAGGATGTTAATAAGTTAACTCGTCAACTTACTAAACGAAAAACATCATTTCGAAATAAGAAAAAATCGAAAGAAAATCCTGAAAATAATATTCAACTATTACAATTTGATGTTGATTATGATGAACAACAACGTTCAGCACTTCATTTTGCTGCCATTGAAGGTTAGTTAATTATTTACTAAACTAGAATTAAAATTTAAATACAAAATTATATTGATCTCTAGGTGATGCAACGATAATTGTTGCTCTTTATGAATATATGCATACGGTTGATGTTTCTGATGCATCAGGTCGAACACCATTACATTATGCAGCAATTGCTGATAATGAAGAAACTTTAACTACTTTACTTCTTTGTAATCCTGATATAAATCGAATAAGTAAAGATGGAACAACTTCATTACATGAAGCAATTATTCATAATCATTCAAGTATGTATGATATAAATAATTTATGATTAAATTTTATCTAAATTTTTTTTTTTTATTTATATGAAGATATTCTTACTCTATTGCTTCAACACAATGCTGATGTCAATATTTTATTTCAGGATTACATTCCACCACTTATTCTTGCTGTTTATCTTCAACATAAAAATATTGTTGAACTTCTTATTCGTCTTGGTATAGATCCTAATATTGTTGATACAAACATGGGTCGATCAGCTCTTCATTATGCAGCTTATTTTCATGATAATACAGTTATATTTCATTTACTACTTTCATCAACTATTCATCATACAATTAATATAAATGCTCAAGATAATAAAGGATTTTCTGTACTTGATTATGCTCGAGCAAATATTCATGGAAGTACAGCTATTGCTGATTTACTTTTACAATTAAATGTATTTGATCCTGATCGTGGAGAAATTTCAAATGAAAATATTGAAATTGAAATACCAAATATAAAAATATTTCAATCATCCAATGAATTATCATTATTAAGAGGAAAAGATAGTGAAACTAACAAATTACAGAAAATAAAACCTAAAAAAACACTTAAACTTGAAAAGAAATCTAAATAAACAATATATATATATATATTAAATTATTATTTGTTTTTTGAATAATTATAAAATTTATTCTATTCTATTCAATAAAAAATACAAATTTTAATTTTATTAACAATACATTTTCTATTCCATATATATCGCCTTTATTAATCATAAAAAAATTATTCTTTTGATTATTTTTTTCGTTTTTGCTTTTCTACGCAACGCCTGTATATTTTTAGAGGCACATGATATTGATTTAGTTTCTTATTCAAGAAGAGGAAAAAAAAAAGAATGCTATAGATATATTGCATACGACGCTATTTGTTCGTCATCATAAAACTTTTCTTTTCTAACACACTCATAAGCAATTTTATATTGATTGTTGACGTCTTTCTATTAACTACCAAGTGTGCTTGTTCTATTCTGTTCTGTGCTTATTTTTCTTTTTTCTCTTGAAAACATCGTCAAATTGTAGATTTTTCCTTTTCTGTTACTACTGCTGTCATTGGGTAAGAATAAAAGCAGTCGTCGGACTAAAATTAATCAAGCATGCAAAGTGTTCGTCATATAACCATTGGAAGATCAGCATATTCAATCATATAATAGAATACAAATCAACGCAGAGTATTTATTTTTATTGTGATACGAGAAATAGACAGAATTTGATAAGCTCATACGTAATTTTCTTACTTTCATCAGTACAAGTACGCACAAATGAGTAATATTTCTACATCATTATTGTCGAATTCAACGTTTACAACAATATCATCAACAAACTTAATGTCAAAAACAATGTTGTCAAACTCAACGTTAACAACAACAATAACAACAACAACAAAAACATCAAGTTTAGTACTTAATAATGATACTATATTTAACATTATTACACAATTACTCAATGGAACCAAACTATACAAACATCAAGTAGCTGATTTAATGGAACCTGAACATTTTTCTGTTCGTGATACTCATATTATTATTTGGATATTCAGCATTATTACTTATGTTCTTGCAATTCCAATTGCTATACGATTAGTTCGATCAAGAGCTTATTTAAATATAATTGATTATTTTTCGTTTCATATGATTCTTTGTTCATTTATTGCATGGTTTCCATCTTTAATACTTATACTTTATCATTGGTTTCAATTATTTACATTACGACTTTGTCGTTTGCATTATGTTATTTACTCAACAAATGCAACTGTAAGTCTTCGATAAATTAACAAAAAAATAAAAATAAAAGTTCTATTTATTTATTTATTTTTCTTTTAAGGTTCCAATTTTTTTTATACTTTATATGATTCTCGAACGTTTTTTCTATGCTCATCCATCAATTAAACAAAAATTTACACGATTTTCTAACATGTTTTATATTAATTTATATGCAATTTTTACTTGGCTTTTGATAATGCTTATTTATGCTCTTGCATCACCATTTACTCAAGCTGATTCAAATTCGACTATATCAATATATACAAATAAATATTGTCCTTATAATTATTCTAAATTACGCTCAATAGCAACAGCTCGTTCAATAATTTATTTTTGTTTATTTATACCAGCTTTAATATTAATTGGTTTTGTTTTAAGATATTTTTATCTTTTACGTGGTACAAATCAAGTTGCACCAATACAAAAATTATGGACAATACGTGTTACATCACTACTATGTGTGATCGTTTTTTATGATATATATTTATATTATCTTGAACATATTACTGAAACATATAAATCATATTTATTAGCATCAATATTACGTTCAAGTATCTATTTAGTACAATTAATTATAATTGCTTGTACAGAACCATATTGGCTTGAAATATTATTTGAACGTTGCGCTTGTTTACGTTGTATACTCACTGGTCAACGACGAAAACCAACAACACCAGTTGCTATATCAGCTGAAACAGAAATAAATACTTTACGATATTCATCATCTACAGGACATTATTCACTTGTTGATGATACAGTTAATGATGAATTTGAGGAAAGTACTAATGGACCACAACCAACATTACGTATTGTTGCTTAAACATAAGAACCTATTATTATATTTTAATGTTCAAACGTTTGATGTACTTGTATGTGTTAAGATATAGAGGTTTTTTTTTTTTTGTTTTGGTAACTCTTGTCAAGAACAGGCATTATGTGTGATAATAAATAATAAAATTTTATGGATTTATTACATTATTATCTGAAATAGAATGAAATAGTTCGGAACGAGACGAAATATATATTGATAAATTACAGGTTGAAGCACATGAAAAAATATATCTTTAGAATTACGTATATTGATGGAAAAGTATAAATGAACTATTTTAGTAAACTTTTTCTTTTGTTTTATTTCACTATTTGCGGAGTATTGAGATATTTGGAATAAAAAAAAAAAAAAAGTATTCAATATAGATATTAGGTTTTTTTTTCTTGTTGATATGTTTAATGTTATATTGCAAAAACTAATCAAACAAAAAATATTATGGTTCATTGATTTTCTGGTTATCATGATTGCTACGTGCATAATGAAGCCAATTAAATATTGACATGTTGTAGTATTGTCATATATACAAGATGAAGACATTTTTCACAATATACAGTATATCAGTTGGTTATCAAATTATTTTTGTTGCTATATTAGGTATTCTATTTTGTCTTATTGGTGTAGGAGATATAATTTTATTCATAATTGAGTTATTTCATGGTCGATCAAGTGTTACTCATTATGATGAAAGTCATAGTGGATTGAAAGTTGAAAATTCACTATGGCCATCATCAGATCACGGTTAATAAAATAGTTTTGTTTTCGAAAATATTTTATTATGTTCATTGGATTTTTTTAGGTAAAGACTTTTGGGTTGGTCTTATACTAGTAGCGACAGAACTTGTTGGTATATTAGCATCTCGAGAGTGGACTCCTCCATCCATTTTTTGATTTACTGTACTTACTAGTACATCAATAATTCTTTCATTCTATTTAATAATTACATGTATTATACTTGTTCATTATGATACAAAATATTCTGATGCAATTCAATGAACTTATTATCAATTCATTGTTGATAGCTACTGGAGGATTTGATACTATTTTAGATGCAATATCCACTCTTGTTGGCTGTTGTGCTAACCAACGTGATAAACATCAATATAGTGATGAACCTGATAGAATTGCAGTATTACCATTAAGAGGATATAGACTTGGTATAGCAAATATCAGACCTATAGAAGTTTTCTAGTATAATGAAGCTTTTCGGAGGGCTATTAAAAAAAAAGAAAACCTAACGGTACTTAAAACATGGATCTGTTTTTTTTAATGTGATTAAACACTTGCAATAGAAGATTCATCAATATAATAGATCAAATTGTATTATTATTGCGGAGATAAAAAGAACTTTATCAATTAAATATGAAATTGAAAAACATTTCATACGATCATTCTTATGAAATACAAATTGATAATGACTCATGAAAACGGAAGTGATTCATGTGAAGCGTCATATGTCTCGTAAAATAATGTTGTGATTTAAATAATGTATTTTTCATGTGACAACAAATATTCGACAATACAATAAGTTTGATAGAGGTGATAAGAATTGAATGAAAATGGATTGTAATGGTAATTTAATCGAATAATAAATCATATCAAGTGGCATTTAAAATATTACATTGATTTAGTTCCATAGTACAAATATGGACTTTATTCCATGTTATAGTGATATCCTTTATTTTTACTAGTTTTGAGAACATTGAAAGGAAAAGATAATAAATGATTTGCAAAATATTTTCATTTCGAAATTTATCAATAAGCGAATAAATATTGATGAATAGCAAAATTGTTACTGTTATCATAATCATTGATTATCGAGTTGATAATCTATATGACTTATTTTAAACATGTTTAAAATAATAATGATTTATTTGAAAAGAGAAACAAGTTAATCTATACAACTTTTTATTCAACATAACTGTTACTTTCATTATTGTCAAAAAGCAAATAAAATAAATCGGTTTTGTTCTATACTATTGACAGTTCATGTTTATAGAAGTAATTCAAAGTAATTGACTGAAAATATTTGTCAATCATGCTAATAATTGATACATTAGTGTATCCCCGATAAATACTTATCTGTAACATGAAAGAAAAAACTTTAAGCGGAAAATTAGTTTGGCCTTCTTTATCATTGTTAACCTTATATAGATTTATGTTATTAAAGTTTAGTCTTATGTTAGAAAAGATACAGATAAAAACAAAGGAAGATCGCATTATGATAAGAAAAAAAATATATTATGAACATTTTTTCCGTACTCATTACTACAAGAAATGATATCAAAACAAATAGAAATACGAGTTCGTATGACTTCATAATTCATATTTTAGATACATTATTATTATTCAGTTTAAAAAAGACATCAAAACTATAGATCATCTTTATTTAATTAGACAATCAAAAATGAATTAGAAAAAAAGAATAACTCTATGTTTTTTCCGATCTTGGAAAAACTGACAACTAATTAGAAATAAATTTATCTTAAACGTACAAAAAAAAAATGTTTATATAAAGCTAGCATATATTTATACAAATTTTATTCTTCTATTTAAATTGCTCTGGCTAAGACAACACTCTTTTTGTAATCTGTTTACAAACTAAACAAGATTTTATGTCATGATTAGATAAATAAAAATAAATAATCGATAGCAATCCTATTGTATTTATCCTATAGTTAAACTGAATTGTTGAATAATTTTCTTTTCTAAAGCAGAATTCACTTAATTTCATCTAGAAAACGAATTCTCATTTAAAGAGTATTCAATAATACAGCGTTGTGATGATATTTAATCAGCTATCTTTTAGTTTACATTTTGTTTGCCATTTGTTATGCAAAGATATCCATCATGATGTTAATTTCATCATTTAGAAGAATAACAGTGATTAATGTTGATTTGATTACCAAGAAACGAGTGTGCATTTACTTTATTATGACACTCCCATCCTCTCAATAGTTCGATTTTAATGATGTATAGTACTCATTGATCAGTCATTTTGATGTTACAATTGTATAATGAAACTCAACTATTTTGTGATTTTCAATAATAAAAAGTACAAATGCGTTTTTTTTCGTGTCTAGTCGTCTTAAACAGTTTTTTTAACGATTGAAATTGAGTAAAAAACTACTCGCAAATGTGTAAGTTTTTATTCGATAAATTCTAATAATTTATGATCTATCGTTCTTTAATAAATGTGACAAGAATAACTAATTATAGTGTCATTTAATACATGTCTGTTTGACATAGTGATTAGAATAGTTGGCATATGAATTTCAGTTATCATTAGATAACAAAAATTGTGACTTGTATTTGAGACTATACTTGTGAATCCTTATTACAATAGTTCTGTGTGACTAGAATCAAATTAGATATATTGTGAGTATAGTAGAGAGTGTATAGGTTAAGATATCCTTTCTTCGATTAGTCATACCCTGCTGATCACATTAGAATTTTGAAATTGTTATTCATTTATAATATTTCAAGATGCTACAATAGTCAATGATTGTACGAATGCAGTTAGAATACCGACAAGCATGTCGTGCTTTTTGATTCAATAAATGATTTGATTTTGTATCTCGTATTGTTTTTACATTCATAATAATTGGATGACTTTATTAAATTTCTGATTGTGATGATGATACACTTTTGACAATGTACCAATAAATTATTAAAGTGATCGTTGAGTTCCATCATATACAAAATTGTGTTCGTGAAAAACATACATATATATATATACACTTGTGGACAAAAGTCTGCCTTCCCACTTGTTCGTTTCACATAGAACCCATTTGGTGTTCAGTGAGTGTTAGTTACAAGAATTATTGAAATGCTTTATTGTAGCATGCTGTATGATTGATGATCATTTGCTTCAATAAATCAAATACGTCTTTTAATAAAATTAAGCAACACTACAAATGAGCTGGTTGACAGAATGTTTCACGACTAGCTTATCTTTCTTTTTGTATCTGCTAACTGTTTTACTTGTTTAGATCATTAAATTCTTTTCATCATCGACTCGAACCTCTTCTTCGAATGCTGTATAATTGATCATACAAATACAGATAAGCTAAAATCAGTAAAACATTCAGAAAATACTTAAAAAAAGAGAAGACTCAACTATGAAGTATTCTATCCATTAATTCATTTATAGTTTATGAAAAGGACGAAGGAAAGAGAGGAAAGACTTTTGCCTAAGGATGTATATACTATTATCGTCTGTGCTAACATGTAAATTTCTACGATTAACTAAAGAAATATTTCTGCATTATTTTGGCTAAAGCTCATTGATTGATAGTAAATTGAATGAAGTCATTCTAAGCAAGACCTATTTTATCTAAAGGACCGGAGGCACAAACTTAAAGAAGAATAAATAAAAGGAATATTAATAATTCTATTTGTAATAGATGTTAAAGAAAGATCTTTTTAATTGTAAAAATAGTTTCATTTCCTTTTGTTTATAGGTATAACAAAGATTCAAACTTCACTACGAAATATTTATAAGTTATGAGAGATTTTGAGAAGTACTTAAATCTTTTTTTCCTATAAATATTATTCAATTAGAGCTATTGGTTAAATCATAGGATCAGTACTTTTTTTTTAATTTGTTGTTCTCCTGAAAACATATTCCTGTTAGTTTACTTAATCGAGTATATGTGAAATATTGGTTGTGGAGTACTCAAATGGGTAACTTGATTTGAGTGCATTTATGAAAGAATATAAACAACAATACTAAAGTACTCTAATAAGTTTTGTCATGTTAAAATGTTAACAATGATAATTCGTAATAATTTCTCGAATTCCACGTCTGAATCGTTTTTTATATATAATCTTTTTTTTTATTATTTTTTTATGTATTAATTTTTCTTTTGACCTTGATTAAATTTCTACTAATGATCGAATACACGTGTCTTATGACGTGATCACAGCAATCGTTTTCATTTTTTTTCCAATGTTCGTGTGTCGAAAAAAAAAATTAAAAATTTTGTACAATTCTTAATTAGAAATGTTAATTAAAAATTACATTTTAAGTACACAAATGAACAGTAAATGATCTTAACACAGGCCTATCAACTGTTTTTGTAATAGTTAATCGAACAGCATTAATCAGTTGTGGTCCTTCTTGCCAAATATCAATTTTCTTATTACCAATACTTGTACCTTGTGCTACTGTGATCCATTGAGTACTATTTGTTGTATTGACGAATTGAACATCAATAGTATATGCTCGAATAACTTGACCACGAGTTTGATCTTCTTGAATAACTGAACGATCAACTGTAACTGGTGATGAACCAAATAATTGAATATATATAGTTGAATCTTCTAGAGTAAGATTTTCTGTAGGTAGAACATATGTTCCATAACATGAACGAATAAAATCACCTAATTGCTTATAACGACGTGCATAAGCAGATGGAATGAGACCTGTTCGATCAGGAGTAAGATCAAGCATCAACATACAATTTCGACCAACTGTTTCATGATAAACTTGAATTAATTCAGAAAGTGAACGAAGTGTTGCATTAACACCCTAGATAAAAGATCATTATATCAAAAATAATATTGATTATTGTAAATATAATCATACCCAAAACCATCGATCTCCATTTTGAAGAGTTGTATCACATTCACCTGGACAAAATATTGGACTATTTGGATCACCACCATCATTAGTTATTCCTGTTGACCAATTTGGATCAGGTGCAACACCCATTTCAGTACCAATCCATCGAACAGGATTTGGTGATACACCATAACCATTGAATGCTACAGCTTGAGGTTGAAGATTGGCAAGTAATGTAGTTATTGGATTTTTTAATGTCGATGTATATCTATATGAACATAAAATAGAAGAAAACTAATAACCAAGCAATCTTTTCTTGATAATACAAACCCTCCATCAAACCAAATTTCATCCAAAATGCCATATCTACTCCAAATTTCTCTTAATTGTTGTAACACAATACTGTCATAAGTTTCTTGTGTAATATTAACCTGACCTGGTTGTAATGTACGGTTTTGAACCTGAATATTAAATAGGTAAATGAAAACCTTACACGAAAACATTCAAAAAGATTAATTTACTAAACCATCTTCTACATTCAACCAATTGTTATCAACAACTGTATAATAAAATCCTGTTCGGATTTGTTTCTTCTCACAACTCTTAACGAAATTGTCAAGAACATCAACGCCTTTCATTGGTGAATAATTAATTGAATAATTATATGGAATCATTTGACCAGAAGGACTCAAAGGAAATTTGACATCAGTTGGAGCCATATGAAAACCGCAAGCATGCTGTTATCATCAGTAAAAAAAAACGCATAAATATTTAAAAAATAATAATTACTTTTGCCACAAGTACAGCATATTTAGCACCGAAATCAACCATAGTTTGAACCCAATTGTCTGTATTTAACAGATATGGATTGAATAAAGAAATATTTGGAACAGATTGTCCAGAACATCCATCATTGTTTATGTATGTCGCTATATTAAAATGAATTAAAACACCTATTTCTTGTGCTTGCCATTGAAGTTGTTCAGGTGCTCAAATCAAGAGAAAATATTTTTGCTTCATAAGAAATCAAAATTCACAAAAATCTACTTACTGGGTAAAGCAATACGTACACCCGTTTTAGGTGAGACACGATACCTGTCGGATGGCGGTGGAGCATATGGTTGATGTCGCTGATATCGAAACAAATGACCATCACATTTTGATACAAGTAACAGTAGTAGAAGAAGAAACATTTTCATTATTTTAGAAAAAAAAGACCCAAAATAAATTGAAGACACTCAACTATATTTATCTCTCGGCTTTATCAAGTCTACTTATCAAGGTATAGATAATGAAGAAGCTACATCATTATCTGTCTAGGTAAATGAAGATCAAGTAAATTTGTCTTTCTTCATCATCTCTATTCAAACATAAATAATCATGCCTGGTTCTTGTTCTAATGATAGATTTTTTATTTTTCATCTTGACGTGAATATTCTTTATTTCATTGATAGTTTCATTGAAAAGGAAGTAAAAAGTGACATAAACAACATGTTTTATATATTGATGGTAAATTAATCGAAAAAAAAAAGAAATTTCAATTGACAATAATAGATACAGATAGTAGCACACATCAATTATATGAAGAGACATCATTAAATAAGTTCGGTGTTGTTCTAATAATGTTATGAAACAAAGAAGAGCTATGCAAATGTTATTTGTACTTATCATTATACTACATCAATCTATAACTTAATGCTTGTTCAAAAATATCTGAATATTTTAATCAATTTGATTTCGATTCGTAACAACGGTTAGCCGAAGAATAATTTAGCTATTGTTTAAAAAGATGCCTGAGTTCATTAGAAGTATGTCAAAAGATTATTCCTTGAAAATGCGAAAAGGATATTATTCTAATGGCATACTGCACATGAACAATACTAAACTATAAAAAAAGAAATTCGATAAATCGAACTTTTAAATCGATTAAAATTTTACGAAACAAAAATTTGTCTGGTGGATGATGACCTTCTATTGTTTCATCTACAATCAACAATTTGATCATAAGTCATTGAACAAAATCATTCATAATATTAACTAAAACATCAAACTCTATTCTTTTATAGGGACAAGACAATTCATCGTAAAAATTCATCACATGGGCCACATATTGCAATATCAACTAAGTACAAGAGCATAGTGGTTTTGTAAAATATGCTGTCAATAAATAAGAAAATAAAATAACAATTTCGTTTTACTCTTGATTAGCAATAACTTTAGGAGAAAACATATTTTATTTCAAATATTATTAATTAAATTTAATCAATAGTACAATCGATTTCTATTGTTTGACATGGCTGTTGACGAAGAGTGAAATAAAATTGTTATTTTATTTTCTTGACTTATCGACATGATACTTTACAAAGTCATTCTCTTACGTGGAAATATACAGCATTAGAGATATTGCAACATTTTGTTGATATGATGAATTTTTTGCGACTACATATGCGCTATTATTTGTCCTGTAACGAAAAGTAATAAGAGAATTTGTCACGATTAATTATTCATTGATCATTTTCAAGCAGTCATATGAAATTAATATGTGTAACTTTCAAGATTAATTTTAATCCATTGTTAACACTACTCTATTTTCAATAATGCTCATTGTTTAAATGAAACGTACAAAACATTTTCATAGTAAAACTTTCTGGTTCTTATCATTATAAGTTGCATAAATCTTTTTTGATGAAAGGAATATAGTTCGAATCAGATAGTCTCACAGAAACTTAAGTAAATCTGATGCTTGAAACATATCTGTTTGTGCTACATCGAGCAAACCATTTCGAAGTTTGATTGTCATCAGTAATTCAATCAGCGACATTCATCGGTTGTATTGTTCATTGTTGAAATATTGATTAAAATTAAACACTTCAGATCTAGGATTTATTTTTCGAAATTAATTGTAGATCATTTGCTCATTCTTCAATATGCCAAGTGTATTAACGGCTCTAGCCATATTTTTTTTTTAAGCAACTAGAGACTTGCAGAGTCAAACTTTTCAAATCCCGACTCTGAAAACTTCAGAAATTTGTTTTCCTAGAAGGTAATAACAGTTTATATGTTCAGAGATATTGTATAATATAGGACTAGTGTACTATCATGAATCATATTTGATTTGAGCGTATTATGAGCGAATAAATAGATATGTGATATATTGGACAGAAAAATTAATCTTGATTGAATGCGTGGATATCTTTGTATATCGACAATAATTGAAATGACTCTCAAGAACTTGTTGTGCGAAGAGATTTTAAATTTCATAAGAAGAAAAGACGATTGTATTAAATTAGTACTATGAAAAAACAATCGTAAAATACAAGCAAAGCTTGCAATGATATTTACTGAGTTATGCTACATAAAAAAATGAAAAAAAAATTGTTTAACTTTCTATAATTTATATCAATTCCAACTTCGACTTCGATAATTATTTTTGTAGCTCTTCTGATAACAGTTTATAGAAAGAATAAATTTCTTCGGTAATTTACATGTTTCTCAATCCACTTTTAATCTAAGAAGATGACAATTTTTCCATTTACTTCTTGAAGAATTTTAACAAAATTTCAACATATAACATATTTCACCGGGAAAAAAATTAAACAAAATGAAAAATATCCATACAAACAGTTCTCTCTTCATTTATAGTAATAATAAATTACAATAATTAATAGTATAAAAGATAGTCGAGTTTTGAGTCTATCGATAAATTTTATGTCTACGATCAAAACGGTTAGTATAAGATTTTTCAGTAGAGAAATATTCACTCTTTTAAATTTCTTGTATTGTATATTAAAGGAGTAGAAATTCTGGTGGTAATAAATTGAAGAATATATTTTATTTTCTACTTAATTGTTCCTGAAGTCTTTCTTAAAATTAAAAACAAAAGTAGTCTATCATCTTCAATTCCTGCTACTAAACATACTAATCATTGAACAATTCATTATTTCATAGTACGCCATTATATTCGCGCAATGCCATAATACCACTATTACTATTCAATTATTATTTTCCTTACCCAACCAACAAACCATTTGATAGGCATTTCGGTATTTCGATTTAACGTTATCGTAGGTATCGAAACTTCAAACGGACACCTGGACTCTTACTTGCCGATAGGTCGAAGGCTCGACGATAGGTCAGTGAAACATGAAGCTTTACAAGCAACCGAACGATTTTTACTGATAGATCAAAATTTCTTCAAAGAAAAAAGCATTTTTTTCTGTAGATGTTTCATTCTGAAGTAGTCGAAACCTATCGAGAAAATCCTGAGAAGGAGAGAGACAAACATGGGCACTTACGATTAACATTTGTAAAACATCTAAACAAAATATGAACTATCATTGGTCTATGAAAGTTATCTTTTCAATTCTTAAAAAGATAGTACTTTCAAGATTGTTATGTTAACATTTGCTAATAGTTTTCGAAAATCAAGAAAAACGATTTAATCGAATGAAAACATCTTTTGCATGTCTCTCGCTATAGAAAAGACTTTTTAGAGTCTCAGATGTTATATAAGGAACTTATTTGATAAATAAAGCATTTGATACATAATTGATTTGTTTGATAAAGTATCAAACCAATATTAAAAATATTTTTCAAACATTAAAAATGCAAAATTCGTTATAGTTGTGTTTGTTGTCAAAAACGTCTCTAAATTTCAATCTTATTTGTTGTTTTTCATCAGTTACTATTAAATATTTTTTCAAAAAATAATCAAATTCAAGAAAATCTATATTGAACATAAATCTAAATGAAAAAGACCATTGTAAATCAGTTTTCGAAGTAGTTTCACGAAAATCAAATCAATTTCGCTTCTACTAGAGCACTCAATAATTTGACTTCGATATGTTTCTTTTCTCGAGTACTCGAAATTTCGATGAGTATCGAAGGATTTAAAAGTACTTGAATACTTGTAAATGAATTTTTCGATAGGATACAGAAGTCAAGTGGTCGGAACCCGATGGCTATGAAATCGTAATAGAACGAACAAAACTTACATATATTTCAAATTTTCGAGCGCTCTTGTCATCTATCATTAGTCTTTTTTAAAGTCTGTTTGCGTAAATCTATGAACATCTAGAATATTTCCAATCAATTTATTTTATGTTTTAAGACTTAACATTCAATTTTCACTTTATTAGAGTATATTATTCATCTTGAAATGAACCGTTCTCTAATCATTGACACTAAGTTTCTTCTATTTGACATTAAATTAATTATAATCTGATTATTTTTTTTTGTCTGATCTTCAATGGCAGAATACTCTGATTTACTTCTATTGATTATGAAATATTTCAATTTCGTACACAGAAATACATATAAAGAGGTAGTGAGTATGTTAATAGAATTGTTAATTTGTACTGATATTCAATGTACAACTCATTCATTTTTTTATGAACAATGTTTACAATCTTTCATGTATCATTGAATTCTTTTTTAACATTTCCGAAAAATAGAAGAAAACTATAAGACAAAAACTAAAATGTATTCAAAATTTCATATGAAAACATAATCAGTAAGAACGATGATTGAATTCTAATCTTATTTTTGTGAATATCACTGAATATATATATATGTGTGTGTGAGTTGTTCATTTTTAAATCATAGTTTTCGTTATGACATTATTCATGCTTTATTCGTTAATGCCGTTAAAGCTATTTGTGCTTCCATGTCAGCTTCAGTTTCTTTTTTACGTTTCTTTTCTATTGACATATTTGTTTTGCCGACATCAAATGATATAACACAATAATGTTCATAAATAAGTATAATAACAGTCAATGATAAAACAATAATTCGACATAAGACTTGCGTAGAAAATCGAATATAAACTTGTTCAACAAATGCTATAGCTGTAGAACCTGATTGAAATAGCCTTAAACATGCAAAAGCATCTGCTGGTCGTGTTTCGCCATAAATACTAGCTATGATAGAATATAATAGTGTCGAAAATATTGTATCACCTATACTTAAACCAGTAAGTAACATAACAAATATTTCAGTACGACTTTCATACAATGATGCTTTCCATATTGTTAATAAAAGTCCAAAAATGATCATATGAGCAAGTGCACCAATAATAAAAATAAAAAGACGACGACCAATTAAATCACTTAGTTTTCCAACAACGATAAAATTAAAAGCAGTAATTGTACCAAATAAAGCAAACATTAAATATTTTCGACTTTTATCAACAATTAATGGAGGTATAGTAGCAAAAATAAATCCTTGAGATAGACCATTATAACACATAGCGGGAATAAGTAAAATAAAACGAATATCAAGAAGTATTGATAAACTGGATAGAATCGATTGTTCTTCTAATAAATATAAAATAAAAATATTAGTTACACAATATAAAATATACAATGTTTTACTTTTAATTTTTGGTAATTTTATATTTCGAAGAAAAATTAAACTCAACATTCCTAATCCAGCAATACTTGTCATTATTGTAAAAATAATCCATTGATCAAAATTTAAATGAAATAAAAATGAAACAAGCAAGTTTCCAATAATTTGATGTAATTGAAACAGACCAAAAAATATACCATTCATAAAACCTCTTGTTGATGATGGTATTAAATTATTTATTTGTTCATGTTTATTTGTTGATATCGTAACATAGACACCTTGAGCTGTCCATAATAAAGCTGCACCAAAACCAAGTAAGAATGCACATATGTATAATGTCCATTTATTATATTTTATATTACAAGCAATAAATAATACGTATGTTAGACTCGAAAGAATTAATGTTAACCGTACACCTAATAATTGAGTTATATATGATGATAGAGCTAAATTTCCTAAACAAAATACTAGATAAATAATGCCTATTGCAAATGCACCATCTTTAGCATAATCTGATGATGTTTGAAATGTTTGTGTAACATTATAAGACATAAAAATAAGAAAAAACGATAAACTTAAATGAATTATATTATAAAGATTTGACCGATCCATTTATTTTTTTAATAAATAATATAATATAATAATACTTGTTTTTTTACATACGAATCTTGTTCGATTATTTTGCTTTTCTTTTGCTTACTTAATAGAGAGGGATCAATTTTTTTCTTCGATAACGTATCCTATGTCGGTAAAGGTAAAATAGCGACAGGAAATTTCAAAACACATGCACACACATATAACTGATAACAAAAAACAAATCAATGATAGATAGCTGATAAGTTTGTAAAAGAAAATACCTTTTTTTTTTTTGTTATGTTTTATTTGCAATTTTAATAAAGACATGTCATCAGGTAAAAAACAAACTTAGCTAAATAAATTTTGATAGTTGACATGCATATTCAATGAAATTCTTTAGATTAAGATTAAACAAATTAGACATAATGAAATAAAATTGATACATATTAATAAATAACACGAAAAGAAAAATATATTTGTAATAACTTTTCATTTAGTTTTCTCTTTATCATAATAATAAGTTTTGCAAATATATTCCTTTCAATAAAAGAAACCTAATGCATGTTCTACTCTATCAATCATTTGAAATAATCAACAACAAAAAAGAAACTCTAATAAGAATATATAGAATCAATATTTCCATCATATCATTATAAAGATGTAAATGATATTTGCAGGTATGAAAAAAACAAAAAAATCAGTAAATTCTCATGTTATCGTATATTGTGAAGATAGATCGAAACAAAAAAAAACGAAGATCATCATTTCGATCATTACTTTCAATTCTTTTGTACAAGAATCTTTCAAATAACTACTAATTACAATTATTGTTAATGTTGAACGATATTTATTAAATCAACATTTTCTTTTTTTTTATAGAAATATTTCTCATTGTTTGATTTTCAATATTATCTAGTAAACATCACTTAGATATGTCATATAATCATCAATAAACATTTTATGTTTCTCTCAAGCAAAACAGATAAATATATTTTTATTAATCAGTCCGATCGTTTGGAAAATATATCTCCGAAAAAAAACAAAAATTAGATAGTCATATTTTAGCTTGAAGGAATAATCGATGTTTGCAAAGAATATTTGCATATCGGTTCTAATCGAATTGCATGATTTAGAATCGATCAGTTTTCAATGACATTTATATTAATTAGTCATTCATTTTTTTCTTAATTGAATATTTACAATAAAAAACTAATAAGAACTTCAATATTTGATCAATACTAATTATTTAATCTGATATCAGTTGCATGGTTTATTGTCGAATTACTAATGTGATTTTAGTGGCATCTGTTAGTGTTTATAGACAAGAAGAGTACAAAGACAGAAAGAACAACATTAAGATTTCACACTTAATTTCTCTTTTTTCTTTTGATTCACATAATTTCACTTTCAAAAAACAAAAAAAAAACAAACAAACAGTAATTTTTTCAAACTACCAGAGAAAAAAATGCACAAATCAAAATCGAAAAAAAAAAGACAAAAATTTGTCATTTTATTTTGTTTCGTTTTTTAATAATTTTTTAAATTCTTCAGATGTACAAAGATAAGAAAAAAAAGATACAGACATAGAAAGAAAAACAACACAAACACATCATTATTACCATTCTAAATTTGAATTCATTAAGACACCCGGAACTTTTCGTTAATCAATTTTGCACAAAATTAAACGCACCTATTGATGTATATGTATATAAATTGCGATGAATAAACAGTTATGTAGATAATTATTACAGTGGATGGATTATCAAACAAGCAAAAAAAAAAAAGAAATCATACAAATCAGGAAGACATTATGGAAGAATTGATACGTTTAAGCCATTCGAGTACTTGACTAAATGATGGTCGTCGATCAGGATCAGCTTGCCAAGCTTGACGCATAATATCACCTACTTCTTGTGGACAACCATCTGGTGGTTCCATTCTATGACCTTGTTTTAAATTGAGCAATACATCATTAGCAGGCTAAATAATATACAAAACTAAAAAATTTGTGTTTTTTTTGTTTTTTAATAAAATAGAAAAACTAACAATACGAGGATAAGGACATCGTCCATAAGAGAAAACTTCCCAAAGAAGAATACCAAATGACCACATATCACTTTTATGTGTATATCGCTAAATAAAATAAAATCTTGTGTTTTTCTACAAAAAAAAAAATATAGTTTACTTTTGATTCAAGTGCTTCTGGTGCTGTCCATTTTGTTCTACATTTAATTTTTTCTGTTATTATTATATTACCATTTGAATCTTTATTTCCATTCTCCTTTCCTGTTGTTTCAACAAATTTTGCTAAACCAAAATCAGATACTTTAGCTGTATTATCATCAGCAATTAATACATTGCTTGCAGCAACATCACGATGTACAATATGATTTTCTTCTAAATAGGTTAAACCTTCACATGTATCACTAAATATAAATAATAAATTTGAATTATTTATTATAAGAAAATTTGTTTCTTTTTCTTTTGAAATTTACATTGAAAAACCAAGTAAATCTTTTTGAGAAATAACTGATCGACCACGTGTTGTTAAATAATGAAGAAGTGAACCTTTAGCCATAAATTCTGTAACAATATAAATAATATTATCTGGTTTTTGTGCTACACCCAAAAAATGAACTAGATTTCGATGTTTTAATGAACTGAAAATAAAAATAAATTAACAAAATCAATAAACAAATATTTATTTATATATATATACCTCATAATATCAGCTTCATGACGAAAAAGAGCTGCTGAAGTTGCTTCCTTTAGTACTTTAATAGCAACACGAACTTTTCTGTATGTACCTTCATAAACCTCTATAAAAAAAAACAAAAATATTCAATTATACATTCGTCAACAATATTTCACTTTTCTCTTCTCCTTTTATGCTATATCAAATATTACAATTTTAAAATTATTATATAATTAAAAATATAGTATAAGACTGATCAGTATGAACATTTTATATTATTAATCAATTGTTATAAAAAGACTTAATAAGTAGAATTCTGTAATTTGTTTAATTGATTTTAAAATATATTTTAATTTTCAATAAAAAAAAAATGTCAAGTCATTGTATATAAATCTAGATAAGACAAGAAGAGAAAATAATCAAATTATAAAGCATGCTATTAAGCAATTCTTACGTAATAATATTCAATGAATAGATTATTTATCGTAATCAGTCTTATGCTATATTACAATAAACTTCATTCTTATAAAATATGATACATTAAACATGAAATAAAAATTTACCAGCAAATTCTCCTGATCCAACAAGTTTTCCAAGATGAAGTTCTCTATAATCAATTGTCGATGAAGTTTGACATGAAATAACAACTACTGATGGTGATTGTTGTTGTTGTTGAACTGTTCCTCCAACTTTAATTGAATCAACTGTATCTTGTTTATTATTCAATGCTTTTTCTAATCGACAACATAAACCATCAGCATCAAGTTCATAATGCTATTTTTATTTTAATAGAGAAGAGATTTAATTTATTGAAAAAAAAACTTTTATTCATTCAAACCTCAACAAGTAAACGAAGATCAGGAAAAAATATTTCATCATCAACTGTATATGTATGTCGTATTGGATCGAGTTTAACTCTATAATGTTGAATTTTTGCATCATCTTTTATTGATAATGTTAAATCTCCTGGATAATGTTCACTTTCACGTATAAGAAATGTTCCAACAAGTTCATCAATTAATAACTGTTCAGCACGTACTCGTGGTAATTTACCAAAATTCCAACTATATGATGATGAAGATGTTTTTAATTGTGATTTTGGTGACCTAATCATTAATAATACGATTTTATTTCATTTTTTTTCTCCTACTTTCTATCGAAAAAAATAAAAAATGTCTTACGGCACTTTGACAATGGTAGGTGCCAAAGTTTCATCGTCGTTCACCATCGATGAAAATGTACACGGATATAAAGGTAAAAAAAAAACGTGCCAAGATCTATTAAACAAATGAACGAACGAATGAAAACAAATATAAAGAATAGAAATAAATAATGCAGAAGTTCAATTAGATTTTTATCAATGGTGTTTCATATTAACCAATAATATTTGTTAAAATCTATTCATTTATGCATTTAAAACTGTCTAGATTATCCTCCTCTGTCAGACATCGATCAATACATAAAAATGGCCACTATCATCTTCTATATGATTGCTCCGTTCGTCGATACGGACAGATATATTATATATATATTGATTGATCAATCTATGTTTCTTTTGTTTTATTATCTGACATTCTAGATTATCATATTTCAATTTTTCGTTCATATTTTTTATTTTAACTTTATTGAAATAAAATAATTTCGTTCTTTTTTTTTTAAACAGAGAATTATGATCTAAAAGTATGCTAACATAAATTTATTCGTTGTTCATCAAGTTTTTTTTCTTTTTTTCCAAAATAGGAAAAATGTTTACTAACAGTAGTAGTAATAATCGTTCCACTACAGGTGGTGGTAGTGGATATGAATTTAGTGTTAATGATGTATGTGATCGATTAGAAAAAGAATTTACACATATGCAAGGTGAACGAGCACAATTACGTATTGAATGTGAAAAATTAACTGCAGAAAAAAATGAAGTACAAAGACAATATTGTCTTTATTATGAAATGGCATATCGTTTATCATATGAAATGCATAAACAATCAGAAATAACAAAACGTTTAATAGCATTATTACATCAAATCATTCCTTATTTAACACCTGAACAACAAGCACATGCATTACCTGCACTTGAACGTGCTAAACAAGTTACAATAAATGATCTTAACAGGTAAACTATTAGATTGTATTTGTGTTTGTTTTTTTTTTTGAAAAGTAATTAGAGAAAGTATAGAAAAATGTTTTTATTTTCTTGATATGTGGATTTTTTTTTGGTTTTGTTTTTTTTTCTTTTTTATTGAAGTGTGATTCAACAACAATTTCATGCACAAGCAACAGCAGTTGCTCTTGCTGCTGCTTCAAATTCATCACAAACTGGTTCTGGTCTTCCACCATTACCTGGTGGAATTCCTGGTTTACCTGCTGGTCTTGGTTCAAGTCCTCATCTTCAATTACCCGGTCCACCAGGTCTTCCAGGTGCTGGTGCCGGTCTTCCACCAGGCATGCTTAATTATACATCAGTATTAAGCAGTTTAGCTTCTCAATATGCACCAGGTATGAAAGAAGAAGGTGGTTCATCAATATCAAAAGAAAATGCTTCATCACCACGAGCTAATAATAGTGATTTAACATTGGGAACAAAAGGTACAACAAGTAGTAGTCGATCATCAACAAATGGAAAATCATCTAAACATCGACCATCAAGTAATAGTAGTAATATGCCTAAACCAATAAAACCATCAACAACAGAAAGTGATGGTGAACGAAGTGAATCAGATTTAGTTATTGATACAAGTATTGGCAATCCAAAACATACCAATGGTAGTAGTAATGCTGGTGGTGGACTTCTTTTACCAAATGGAATTAAATCAGAAATTGCTGATAATACAACAGGTTCAATAACAACTAATGAAACTATGCCAGCAACACCACCAGTATCGTCAGCGAATGGTGGTAGCAGTGGTGGTGGTGGTGGTGGTGGTGGTGGAGGTTCATCAAAAACTCGACGTGATCGAAGTCCTATGTCTGATAAAGATAATTCACAAAGAAATAGTATGTCATCATCTGCTATTAAAAAAGAACGAAATACACCACAACCGAATAAATCAATGACACCAACAACAGGATCGAATGTTGGACCACCAAATGTTGGTGCTCCTCAACTTCAACCAGGTGGTCCATTAGGTTTACCACCTGGACTTGCTGGACGTATACCAACTGGTGCTCCATTTGGGTATGTTTTTGTTCAATACTATCTATATACATATTAATGATTTTTTTAACTGTTTTCTATTTTATTTAGTTTTAATCCAGGTCCGTTTTCTTCACCTGAAGCATTAGCAGCTGCATTTGGTGCACTTGGTCCACATCATGGAAATCCATTAAATCCATTTGGTCCATTTGGCCATCCATTCGCACCAGCGGAAGTAGCCCAAGCAATGGCTATGGCAGCTCAACATCAACATGCACAACAAATGGCCCAAGCACAAGCAGCCGCTGCTGCAGCTCAAGCAGCAGCTGTTGCAGCAGCACAACGACAACAACAACAACAACAGCAACAACAACATGGATCTAATAATCATCATCATTTAATGAATCAAGCTTATTCATTTTTTACTACAACCGATGGTCAAGGTAATCCAGTAACAACACCTGTTAATATGACACCTGAAGCATTAACTGGTCCTAATATACCAACATCAGCACGAGAATTAGCTACATTAATGCATGGTGAAGTTGTTTGTGCAGTAACTATTAGTGAACCATCAAAACGCATTTATACTGTAACTATAATTAAAATATTAAGAATTAATCAATTTTTTATATATTATTTTTTCTTTCTAATATAGGGTGGTAAAGGTTGTGTTAAAGTTTGGGATCTCAAACAAACAGGCACTGTTCGAACACCATTATCTTATTTTAAATGTCTTAATGATGATAGTTATATACGTTTTTGTAAATTACTTGCTGATGATCGTACACTTGTTGTTGGTGGTGAAGCAAATGTTATATCAATTTGTGATCTATCAGCAGTTACAGGTGGTTCAGCAAGTAATACTCGTTCATCAACACCAAATTCAAATGCATCATCACCAACACCATCTAATCAACCACCATTATCAACATCACCAAGAATAAAAGGCGAATTAAAATTAACTGCTCCAGCTTGTTATGCACTTGCAATTGGTCCATCGGATTCTAAACTTTGCTATTGTTGTTGTTCAGATGGTTCAATAGCCATTTATGATATTCATAATCAATCACTTGTTAAATCTTTTGTTGGACATGGTAAGTCTCTAAATTTGTATTTTCTATTTAAATGATTAATTATTTTGTGTTTTTGTTTAGCTGATGGAACATCATGTATTGATATAGCACCTGATGGTCGTACAATGTGGACAGGTGGATTAGATAATACAGTTCGATGTTGGGATCTTCGTAATGATTATGCTCCATTACAAACATATGAATTTGATTCACAAATTTTTACATTGGGATATTGTCCAACAGGTGAATGGCTTGCTGTTGGTATGGAATCATCAACTGTTGAATTAATTAATATATCATCAGCAACAAGTAATTCATCAAGTCCATCAATGAAAAAGAATCATGATAAATATACACTTAGTTTACATGAAAGTTGTGTTTTAGCACTTAAATTTGCTCATCAAGGTAAATGGTTTATATCAGCTGGAAAAGATAATTATATACATTGTTGTCGTACACCAACTGGTCTTCTTTTATTTCAATCAAAAGAATCATCAAGCGTTCTTTGTTGTGACATTTCAGCTGATGATAGATATATTTTGACAGGTTCAGGCGATAAAAAAGCCACACTCTATGAAGTCACATATTGAATTCTTTTTTGTTGGTCTGTGTGTGTGTGTGTGTGTGTAATCTTCTTTTTTTCTTCTGAATGTTGTCTGTTAATAGTGACTGTGTTCTGTTTTTGTCAAAAATCTTTTTTTTTTTTCTTTTCTCTTTTTCATTCATTATCTTGTACATATTGTACCATTAGACAGTTAGTAGAATCGATCTGCGCTATGTTTCTGTCTATTTTACAAACAGGCACATAGATCTATGTTCTTTCTTTCTCAAATATGTGCTTGCTACGCTCCTTCTCATTTTGTGTGTGTGTGTGTGTGTGTGTCTAATGTCTATTACTACACAACAAACATTCGTCGTCTTCTTCTTTTTTCATATATTCATTTATGTATTTGTCAATGAATTTAATATGGAGGATGATGAACAAAACAAAAAAAAAAGAAAGAAAAGAAATTTCTTGCAATGATAGTTTATTAAACTGATGAAAAAAAAAAGCAGAACAATTGTTTATATATTATTTCAAAAGAAAAATGAATACAAATTAACAAAGTTTTTTTTTTTGCTTTTTTGTACGATTTGAATTCATTTTATATTTGAATCTCATATAAATAGTTTATTTCTTAATACATATGAATATGAATAATTCAGATTTAAATTCAAGATAGTAATTATTAATAACACAACCTATAACGAATGATGACTTAAAAATTAATATATAATTTTTTTTTTTGTTTTCAATATAGACATCTTTCCATTGATTTGAATAATAATTCTTTCTTTCATGGTTACTTTTATTATGATATCAAAAAAAAAAATACAATTACGAAATAGTTTGTTTTTCTTGATATCTTTTCTATAAGTGTACAGATCGTAAAAAAATATGATTGAAATATTAATAATAATTTCATGTTGATGAAAAATAATTTTTTTAATCATCTCATTAAATATTTAAAACCTTCTTCTAGATTATATATTTATATTAAACAAGACAAAAAGAAAAAAGGTTTCAATGTGAAGTTTTGTTTCTTCCAATGTGACCAAATAGATGTTTATTTTTTTATTGGTTAGAAAATATTATAGAAACAATTTGCATAAAAACAACGCTATATTCATCATCAATTATAATATTAGGAAACATTTTGTTTGAATAGTTTTAAATATCGATTAATATAAATTGTTTTTATGAAAATATTATTTTGATTTGTGACAATAAATTTTATGAAATATTTCTTAATTACAGTACATTTACATCTTAGATCTAGTAAAGATTTTCTCACCGATTTCACTATGTCAGAATAATAATTATTTTACCGATATAAATAGTAACACAAATTGTTTCATTCTCAAATGTTCATTTATAAATAGAATGAATCTATATTTGATCGTTAATAACGGCAACTTGATCAAACATGATGTCCTTTATAATTAAATTATTTTAAAATATTTCTTAATTATCAATAATTATATTTCAATGAGCAAACTAACATTCTTTGTTATTATCTATCCAAAGTAAATAAAAAATGACAGGCACAAAAAAAAAAGGATCGAATATGATTGCTTACATTTTTATCTGAAGGATATTTGAATGTTTTTTTCAAAAACGAAGATTTTATTCATTATAGATCATTGTCATCCAAACAGATGGTAATTAGTTGCGGATGAATACGTGATCAGTTAAGGGGTTGCTGTCTATCAACCTGTTGCTATAATGATGTTTTTTTTTCTCCTATTCTTTTTCTCGTTTGCCCAGCTGATAATTGATCAATTGGCAAATATACACATATATTCACCTGTATGTGTGCGAATTTGACTTGCCCGACAGTCTTCTGTCTAAGTTACGAATGTACATATGCATATAAAAAAAAAAAAAGAAAAAAAAGAGCAAGATTATGCACACCAACGACAGCGATGGTGGTGTCAACGTCAAGCAAGGTTGAAGCTTTTTCTCTTCTTATGCGTCAGTAAGCAGTCTGCATTAAAGTTCAATAAACGAAAATATACAAACATATCTATTTATTTATATTTACATTTATATTGAGAGTAGGAGAAGAAGAGGGACCGATAAAGCAGGAATCAACTAGTGATGCAATGATGATAGGCATATTGTCAACATTGATGGACTGTATACATAAACACATCTAGAAGGGTTATGATTGAAAAATAGAGCGAAAAAAAAAATAAGACACGAGAGAAATACACAAAGTAGGTATTGCTCATAAAAATCTTTTGATAATTCTATTAAAATGTAAGTTAAATTAAAAAAAGACTTTTCATTATGAATAATATTTTAATGAATTTGATGGTTAGAAATTTACATATGATTGACATTGAGAGTCAAACTTTTTATTTTAAAATACGAAATGTTTAAACAAGTTTTACAATAAACGATAAAACACATAGTGTACATGTATACATGACATTTGTATCATAATTTTAGAATTCTCTAAATAGCCGGCGTGCATGAGTACACACATGCACTGCCGGCCCTTCTGCGGCACTTATACTTCAACTTCTTCGTCTTCATCTCTGTTTGCTCGTCTCGGTTCTAGTACAACTTCAAATAATCAAACTTACACTTCTTCAACTTATCATCAATATGATCAAACATTACATACATCAGCTATAGTAAGACGTCATCGCCGATTAGAGGATCCAATAACGACATATGCTTCAAACTATTATGCTACGTTTCCTCGTCAGATGTCCAAATCATCATCACGACAATTGACATTACTTTCATCACAACCTTCTTCATTATCGTTATCACGTCAAAAATATAAACAATCAAATCATAAGAATATTTATTGTGATCTTTTTAATTTACTCGAACGTCCTTCTCCACCAACATCTTCACTAATTAAACAAAGAAAAAAATACAAATCTAATGATTACAGTCCGTCTCGTCATCATTATCCCAAAAATATGGAAAATTGCCATACAAAAGTGAAATGTACTAATGATAAAAAACATCATAATCACACATATACTTATTATAAAGAAAAAAAATGTCAAGACGATAAATTATCAAACATAGAACAATATGAGCAATCTCCAGAAAAGACAAAAAATATTAATAATATTTATCAACGACGTTCATCAAACAGAGGATTCTTTCGACGATTGCTATGCAATTATTTTTGTCTAACTTCAACAGTTGCTACTAATGAGTATTTAAGCTAGAATATCTATCTTCAACACAAATAAAACAAAGGTTCTCGTAATAGATTAAAAAAACAAACATATTTATATTAATTTAAATAACAAAACATCAAGTAGTTTATCATTGGTCTAATGACAGAAAAGTTTCATTATTTTTTAAGTAGACCAAGACATAAACAGATTTTAAAAGATAATAGATATGCATCATATTACAAAGTTATTATCAGATTATATTTATATGGTGATTATATCATTTTTAAGTTAATCACTGTGCAACCAATTTATATCATTATGTATTTATTCTTATTTCGTTTACCTATCTTTATAGTAGACACTCTAAAACTCATATAGTTTATATAACATAATTTTTAATATAGCATGTCAAGAGAAAGTAACTATAATTGAAAGATTGACTCATAAGAAAATGAATAATTATTCTCATTATCGTCTTCAAATGTAAAACTTATGTGAAAAATCATACACTATCTAGAAATAATTGTTGTTATGAAAATAAGTTAGTATTTTATTACTCTATTTATAATCAATTATATAATGAACAAATGTACATTGAAATGATAAGGATATGAGATCAGCTGAAATAATCAGTATTGATATAAGGTGTATATTTGCATATTAATAGAAGATTCTAACGTTCAAAAATAGTTATCAAACCTATTGGAAAGACAATTATTAGAATATGTATTAAACTGAATAAGAAAATCAAATTTAATATGTAGAATTATTTTTTAGTATGATAGTACAAAAACAGTCGATTGGTAGATATGTTCAACCATATTTCTTGTTTGTCTCAGAGGTCGTTGATCAAGTAAGCACAATAATTGCAAAATTATCATACTCAAACTGTAAAAAAAAAAGATGCTTTGATTGAGAAAATTCTTGAGTTTATTGTCAATCAATATTGATTTCAAACATATATGCACTTTGTATTTTATGAATTCATTCTCAATATATTCTAAAAATTATACAAAACCTAATGATATCAGTACTATGATATTATATAGAAAGCGATACGATTATCAACGTTTTGTTTTTTTCATAAGTTCTTTTTAATTTTTCTCTTTTTCAATTATGGCATTTATTTTCATCACACATTCTAAAAACATTTGTAGAAGATCCAAAAGCAAGATCCTAATTATTTAGAAGTCTATCTAAATGATTTTTATAGATGGATTTAGTGCAAAGTTTGTTTTGTTTTTTTTTTAATATTGGGCAGTGGTGGACAGTGAGATGAGTCGATTGGTAAATTGTTTCTGTTTATGTAGAAATACTTCATATCAAATAAAGTCGTACATATCAAGGAGAGATAAAATTAAAAAAAATTATCCATATCCCTCGTTCACTGTCTTTGCCCGTACAATTCAATTCAAACAGATATCGGTTGTAATCTCTAAAAAGAAGAGATGGATGAAACATTTCTCTTCAAATATTTGATATTTCTACTAAAGATAATCCATTTGTCTTATAATCTCTCAGTACAGATCTACCTAAGTGTTTTGTACTTCCGGCTACTAATTTTTTAAGAAATCATTTTCCTTTTTGACTTTGCATAGGTGAATCTTTCCAATTTTCTTTATTCATCTAAAATAATGGTGAATAACTTGTATCAGTGTTGATATTGGTAGTTTCGATATTTCGAACAATTCTCATAAGCATCACTAACAAAACAACTTAGTTTTTTTTGGCTCCATATATCAGATTTGTCAAATAAAATGCTTGATGCTTTGAAATGAATTCTTATTGTATGAACTAAATGAATTCGAGATAGACATAATCGTTGAAGATGAAAAATAAAGACATTTACTAGCGATTTTGTTTGATATTCTTCTGAATAGTATTTATTTTTTTTCTATATACGCAAATTTATTCTTTAATAAAACCTCTGTCAAATTCTATAAATTACTGTATTAAAGATTCATATAACATAAGATTACAATGATTCTTCGATTCTACATAGATTTCTAAATAACCTGAATCAAAAAGTATTGTGTAAGTTTCCATTTTCACAATATATTTTTTTTTTAAGTTCAACATTTCTGGTTATTTATCATAGAGAATAACAAACTTCTTCGAATATATGTATTTCATCATTTAACTGTAAAAGATATATTTGTTTAAAGCTTTAAAAAAGTATATGTATGAGAAAGATAACAAAGAAAAAAACATACATCAATAAGCTTGATTAGATATTCGGGAATATTTAGTCAATTCAGAAAAGCACTATATATATATATATTTTTTTTTTTAATCTTCAGGCTTAGATATTCTTCACATGTTACTTGTTTTCGTTTTGAGTTTTCAAAGAACTTGATCAACGGTACGACGTCGAGCACAGCACCAATATAAAATTAAACCTTAGAAAGAAATAGAAAAAAAAATGAGTCAGAAACAACATAAGAAAAAAAAAATAAAAGAAATGACGTACCACCAATTGGAAAAAAGATAATAATTAAAATCCAAATAAGCTTTGAACACATACCATGACCACTCGATGTGAGTAACTCAAAAATAGCAATTAAGTCAAGAATCAAAACAATCTAAAGATTATTAAAAAAAAACAAAAATAACTTAATTCTTTCTGTAAATTTTCACTTACTAAACTAATAACTCCTCCAATAGTTGATCCAATTATAACTCGATCATCGTGAAGAGGTGCACCCGATATTGATTCTAATATTAGCAAAATAATAGTACCAAAAACAATTGAATACATTTTTCTGATAAGAAAACGAAAGAATCAAATTCTAAAAAAAATAAATATTCACAATATATAATAGTAAAGATAAAAATAAATATTAGTCAGAACATAAGCAAAAACTCAATTACTTATGTCGAAAAATGTTACTTAATTTTAACAGATACAATTGATACAAACTCGGATTTGACTCTATGCCTGTATGTCGAAGCTTATAAAGTGTACCCTTATATTGAGACATCAATGCATTTTTTTTTTCTTCAATATGTAGTCAGTCGTTGACGAGAAAAGAAATAAAAATGAGTAAGAGAATGTTGTCGCATATTTTTGAAACAAATAATAACATAATATGATTGGAAAGAAAAAACGTGAGATGGCGGGTATAGATCAAAGCACAGAAATATTAAAAAAAACACTCGAACAAAAGGGCGACAGAAAAAACCCTATCGATCGATATGCTTCTAGGTATTACCCGACTATCAGAGTTAATATGCAAAAATATGAATTTCAATAAAAATTAGTTCAAAAGTAATGGTCATTTTCTAGAAGCAATTAGTGATAACATTCATTAGATGAATAAAAAAAGCTTTATTTGTCTTCATTCAAAAAAATAAACTGTTTCAAAAAGTATAGCTATTTATTAACGACTCTTAATATATTTTCACAGAAAAAAAGATGCTGTAACAGTTGTACATATTAATCATGATCAAACGCTAACAAAGTATTTTTTTTCTTCACTAATTTTAAGTACATTAATATAGAAGACACACATATATAATAGCTTATTCTAAAATATCATCGAAATGGCTTTTTGCTACTAATGATAGTCATTCTTTTCATTTTTCTACCAGTTATCATCGTATATTACATATTACTCATCTTACTTCGACTAATACGATTATACAAATCATATGAAAATATTTCATTTTGTGCTTCTTTCATCGATTACATTTACTTGAAATCTACATAAACTTGATAAACAACTACATGTTTTCGAATTACTTTGCCCATTGGCAAAATAATCTCAACAATCACAGCAAAGGTTCTTTTTTATATGAATTGAAATAATATCGAGAATATTTTTATGATCTGATCAAGAACTCGAAATATACACATTGAATTATTTCTTTTTTTGAGAACAATTTCTTTATTATATCTTTACTCATTTATTAATAATAGTAAACATTTTGTTAAACCTTAGCTTAGAACTAGTTTACTCACTAGGTAACATTTAATGAATGAACAATTCTCATTTTTCTTGACTTGTCTTATCTTTAAAAAGTAAAAATGAAAAATAACATATTTGTCGTTGCTTAATCTCGCTTTCATTTTGTGATACTTAATTATTACATAATTTGAAGCTCATATTCAATGGACAATCATGTATTTTTGCTCGTCAATCTGATGCATATTCAAAACAAGAAAATAAAATATATGATCTGCATCTATACCTATTTACTGCCACACTAGATATTATTGTTGGTTTATTGAAGGGTATATTTTAATTTATGACATAGATTTTTTCTCAAATCTGCAACAGTGCTAGACATTCTAATATGTGCACGCTCAAAATCTCAACCAAAATACAATAAAAATAAGTTTGTGTTAGGAATTATTCGATAAATTAACATTGAACAAAAGAATTAAAAGATATAACTTTATTTTTTCTAAAATTGACGATACTATTTATGAACAGATAAATTCTCGTGATTATTTCAATCTATTATCGGTGAGATAAAAATACAAAGAGTTACTCAAAAATCCACCATAAATTCTCTTGAAACGTATATCGTTCAATTTCATCCATTTTTAAAATTAAGCCTTGTTTTTCGGTCAAGGTAATTATAGACGGTCTTGTTATTTTTCAATAGTCTTGTTGGTCAAATGCATGCTGAAAAACTTACATTCGATAATATTCAAGAAGAAGTAGTTACATTTATGTTCGTAAATCATAATACAACTGCAGATGTAATCAATTTACGTTTCTAATTAATTGGGTTTCATCAAGATGTTGAAGAAAAAATTCATGCTGATATGGATGCAATCTTTGATGATAATTATCTTCATTCATTCTTGAGATTGTTTGATTTATTTTTCTATATATTTTTAAAGATGATCAAGAAAAATCTTGTACAATGGAAGATATTGAACAAATTGATTTTGTGTCCGAAATAAGAAATAATTCAATATTTATTCTTACAGAAAAATGAATTTACACAGATATTTGTTTGAAAGTAAAAGTTTATGTTCGTTCTTGAATCTGTGCCATGTATTATTTGGAAAAATACAAGAAGATTTTGTGTATCTTTTCATAAGGAAATTTACAATAATTGTTTTGAAAACTTGGATCTCGCTGTCAAGTTTAGTTTGCTAGACAATGTGCAAAGGATTAATTGTGTATATCTGTATAAATGAAACCGTTTTATGATGCTGATGTCTTTTCTAATTCTTAAAAACCTAGATCTAGAACGATTTACTGGTAATCATCTTGTTTCAGATAAACTTTCATCTTTATATATATTCTATTCTTAGCTGATTGTCATAATTTCAGTTTTAGATGAACATTTTCTCATGTAAATTTTATTACAAATCATGAATAAATGATTTACGTTTTTTCATCGTCTTTCTTTCCACTCAAAGCAAACTATTGATGAAATATATTTCGTTAACAGAAGTTATTCTTCGTCGAAAAAAGTTTCAATTCAGATGTTCGTAAAGCAACGATAAGTTTTTCTTTATACTTTTTTTGAACTAAATCACCAAACAATAAAATATTTTATTCTGTATGTGTTGAATACTAAATTTATCGTATTGAAATTATATTCTACTACAATAATGTTGATAGTAATTTTCAAAATAATTTTAGCTATTGAGTTTTCAATAAGCATAATATTGTTTTCAACAATTTCACAAAGTTTTATTTCAAAAATGATCTCTGAGATAGAACAGCGCAATAAAATGAGTATATATTCAAATAAAAGATAATGTTCTAAAGTAAATAAAAAAAGAGAGATTAAAATATACTACAGCTAAGAAATAAAAAAAAAAAAAAAAAAAGTTTAAAGTTATTGCTATCCAAAAAAAAAGCACTCAAAAAGAAGATAAAGATTATTGAATAATAAAAAAACAAAAAATGTGAGATTCATTTTTATGAGCTTTTAGTCGATAACTGAACTTTTGCTGTATGTAATTCTCGTTTAACTGAATCAATCATTGTTTGAAACCTAAAATAAACATGTCAATAATTTTAATATTTCGTTTTCTAAATAAAATAAAATACTAATGACTAAAAAATAAACAAACACATTCAATCGATAAATTTTATTACGTGCAAAAAAAACTATTCAATATAAGTGTGCAGCATGCTAATTGTTAGATAATAATATTAAAAGCTTTGTTTTCTATGTGTTTACTTTAGAAATTGCCTAGAAAATATACATACACTCATGTAAGATAATTGTTAATTTAGTATAATTCAAACAAGGATCTGATTATCGTCAATGATACATAATAGTTCCTTATTAATCTATCAGTTATAGTGATAAAATCAAATCAAATCCTAGAGATAAGATTGATTGATTTCATTAATAAATAAAATATTTATATATATATGATAAATTAATAAAAATCTATATCAAAATCGATTGAATTTAAAGAATATGACATTATAAGAAATATTAAACTGATTTTTCAATCAAATTCAAAATAAAAATAGTTAGTTAGATTAATCAATACATATATATATATCATTTCATAGAATCTTACTGTCGATATCGTTCATTGATACGATCTTTTTCATCCTAAATAAATTTATCAATATAAAAACTAATAAATTTTTGAATAAAATATAATTGATACTTCAGTTAAAGCTCGTCTTTTTTCATATTCAATTTGCATTTCAATTGCTTGTAATTGTTTTGTACGTTCTAATTCTTTCATTGAATGTCCTTCAACTCTTGCAAGTTGACTCTAGTTGTACAAAAAAAAAAAATTAACTTCTCAAATTTATTCATATAATTATTGATTATATTCACTTTTAATAATTTAAGTTTATCCGATGATTCTCTTTCAACATCTTGATAACCTGAAAATAAATTTTTTTTCTAATAGGATTAAAAAAAAACGAACATTTTTTTAAATAAATAGTACTAAGTTTGTCACGTGATAAATCATCAATAATAACTTCTCGTTTGGCTAATTCAGCTGCAAAATATTTTCTATCAGCATCACTATCAAGTAAAGCACTATTTAGATCATGACGAAGTTTATTTTCTTGTTGTTGACGAATTTCTAATTCTTGTTTAAGCCAAGCAAGACGAGCCTTTTTATTAAAAAAACAAAATTAAAAATAACCGAAAACAAAACACACACACTATTCTTGATATTATTTACTTTAACTTTGCTTAACCAAGTTTCAATATCATCACGAGAACTAATTGATGAATCAAGAATAAATGGTTCATCAGAATCATTTGATAAACATTCTGTACAATAGATAATATCATTATAAACTGTATGAAGGGAATTCTAAAAAAAAAAAGAAATAGATAATTTTATCTATAAAAAGAAAATATTTATTTACTTGAAAATCTTTTTCTTTTTTAAAAATGTCATTTTTTTCATTTGTTGTATCAACTGTTATTTTAACAATTCTAATAGAGAACAAAAAACGATAGATATTTGGTTTTTTTTTTGTTGTTATTAAAAAACAAAGAAATATTTCGTTATACTTTGATTCTAATTCATCAATTAATCGAGTCTAAAAAGAAATATTTAAATTTAAAAAAAAAGTTATTTTGAATGAAATGAAAACCTTTTCTTTTAATTCTCTTGATATATTTTCAATTGAATATTGTCCTTGTGTTGCTTCATCTTCATATTTCGTTGCTTTTTCTTGAAGTCTTTCAATATCTTTTTTATGTTCAATTTCATGTCTTTGTAAAATTCCAACTCGAGCTTTTTCATCCGATAATTGTAACTAAAATTAATAAATAAATTTCTCTGAAATGATTAGTCTT